TGGATGAGTTCGACGGCTCTCATTTGAAAACACATAGGAGTATGCATCCTCAAGAGTAAAGAATAAAGATAATCCCAATAAACGAACACGAGCATACTTAAACTCGTTGTTCAACCCGGTAAGAAACTGAAACACTCGATTCTTCTCCACAATCTCTGGATATAAAACTACATCATCTGGATCCTTCCAAGAGTGGAAGGAATTATAATATGACATCTCCTCCCAAATAGCACGAAGTTTGGCGATGTAACCTGAAACTGTTAAGTCATCCTGAGAATTTGTGGTGATATCTCACCCCAACTAGAAAATTCATGCTTTATTCTGCCTCTGAGAATAAGTGCGTTAAACTGAATCCCAAATCTGCTTAGCAGTTTTCATAAACATATAGCCAACGACTATGTTTGGTTGCATCGAATTGACTAGCCAAGACATAACCATAGCGTTATCTGCAAACCACTGTGGATATGCCTTCTTTGACTTAGCTGGCTCTTTCTCAGAACCAGTAATATAGCCAATCTTGCCTTTGCCACCAATGAACATCTTGGCAGGCTGTGCCCAAGTCAAATAGTTATAGCCATCCAACTTCACTGTGGTAATTTGAAGTCCTGGATTTTCTGATAAGTTGGTGGGAAAAATGGCACCACCACTCACAAAATTTGAACGAAGAGAATTAACAGTCGATGACCCTGAATCTGTCATAATTTGTCACACGACAATAAAAAAAAAAAAGGCCAAAAATACCACAAATTCTGTTAATAAATCAAAGGGTTAATTACAACGACGTCCCCTAAGATTTGCCATAATGACTGCCATATACAAGTTAGGATTTTTTTGAACAATAACTTCCCCTGTACGAATTTTGAACCAAACAGATCCTTAAAAGGTTGGAAAAAATAAAAATAAAAGAATATTATGACAACTTTGTCCACACTAAATAGGATTTTTAAGCCCAACCATCCACCCCTCCTCTTCCCCCTTTCTCTGCACCCACAATCATGGATTACTTCACCTCGTACCACCACTACTCATCACAACCACCACCACAATCTAACGCCACCACAATAGCTAAGAAAAAAAATTCTTCTATCATTACCACATGCTTGATTGGCGTTTGCTGTGGATTTGTCTTCATCGAACCGAGATGTGTTCTAAAGCTCTCATCGGAGCTGTGTGGACAATCGCTGTAGTTATTGGGTTTATTTGGAGCCCACGTTGAGGTCACTATAACTCTGTGCTCTCATTGAATTAAATGGATCTTTAATCCGGCAACAATGGATACTTCAGCTCCGGTCAATTCTCAGTCCGATCAGGCTTCTTTCCAGCAACAATTGAGACTACAACTACTCTAATTGATCTTCTATAATAGCTTCGGCTGACTTAGGTTCTCTATATGGGTCTGTTGTTGTCAAAGAAAATCAAGATGAAAGGCTTGTGTTGTATCTCTGGACTTATCAACATAAACAACTCAAATTGCTCTGAACTTGCCCAACCTCTTACCACCACGCACAACCACGACCACCACTACTCATTATCACCACCATCGTAGAGTATCTATTTCGACCTTGAAGATGATTATGGGAGGTTTGAGCTGTGTATTTATTTTGGTGGGTTGTGTTTTTAATGGTGGGTGGTGGTTGTGGTGGTAAAGAAAGATGGCGGCGAATATGGGTAATGCGGCGGCGCGGATGAGGCAGTGATGCAAGTAGGAAGGTTTAGGATAATTTGACCTATTTAAAAGGGTAGTTTGGTCCAAGAAAAATGAATTTTAAAGATTAAAAAAATAATTTCATATTTCAAATAGGTCAAGGGTAGCAATGTCAATTCACCATGTGTGGTGACTATTAAGGGTGTCTTTGTTAACTTTATTAAACCTGAGGGGGTGTTATTGTCCAAAAATTGATCAATTTGTATTTGGCTGTCAATAGGGTAAACCACAAGGGGTGTCACTGTAATTAACCCTAAATCAAAGAGTCTCCTCAGACTATAAACAATAACAATGTCTCCTCAGACCATTTTCGAAAAATCCAAATACATACTTTTTTTTTTTTTTAAGAAGCGCTGCCTGCTTACATATAGCCAGACAACCTCCTCCTTAATATCCGGAACCTCTCTGTAGACTCAAATTTTTTTTAACCGGAGCCCTTTTAGGTGTTGGAGACCAACTATCCTAATTTACCCAACCCTAGAAGAGTAAAAAAAAATTCTAAAACTTAAAAATACCTATTTTCAATCACAAAACAGTAGCACAGAAAAACATGTGTAGGCAACGTCACACGATGTCACAAACAGCCTAAGGTAGCTGTTGCACAAGTAGCAAGGCTGCTGAAAGGTGTGGAAAGGTGTTGGCTCTGATACCAAGTAGAAATATAAAAAGAAGAGAAATGAGATAATTATGTAAAGGCTTGAATGAGATAAACACTCATTCACAACTCTAATATTTATAGATAAAAAATAGCACATGCTCATATTACAAGAAATCAAATCAAATCAAATCAAAATCAAAAAAAGGAAATCAAATCAAATCTAAATCAAATCACAAAATATTATATAGCATATTCTATGGCATATTCTATAGCATAATCAAATAACTGCTAATACAGTAAGTCATTACATAAATCGTGGCTATCATATTTGCTAACATATATATATTAGCTCATTTTTCATGAATCCATCAAATATTCCAAGTTTTTATCTTATAAATTAAAATTCACATAAGAAAATTGGCTTGTTTTTGCATGAAGATGGACTTGGGATTAAATTCATCCTCATTATATCTCAACTAATCTACTCAAAATAGATGGTCCAAAGACATTGTTTAATTTTTCCTAAATCTACTATAATGCTGTACTAGAAAATGGCACATTGCGTGTCATGAGAAGTATAAAATGACATACTTTCTATTTTAAAGTATTCAGTTACTATTTATAAATACATTTCGGAAGGTATGTGACACAAATTTACGAGTATCTCAGGAGTACAAGTATCTCATTATTCTCATAAGGATATGATATGGTAAAGTTCTCTTTTAGAAGTATCCCGCTCCACAGTATCATGGATATGTAATATTATTGTCATGAAGATACCATTCCAAAATTACTTTAATAATTTGTATCTTACGTTGTCATTTTACAAATATGGGCTATTTAAAATTTGTTTACTTTTTCATTAAGGTTTGCCATTTTGGTTCAGAAAAGTGGCTTCTATTAATTTCAGGAAACTACGGTTATGTGATACCATATAAAGGATTGTAATCAATTTTTCTGGTAAAGAAGAAACAAATTTTTTTAGGAGGTTAATCACTCTTGAAATGATTTTTTGGAGCGTCACCCATCCAAGTAATCAAATCTCTTTCCTGTTCTTATTTATTTTTTTTTTTTGATTACGATGCGTTAGGATTGTATCAGGCAGTGTTACATCTATCTGGTCATGGCTACACCACTTGAGATATATGCTCAATGAGAAGAGTACGTCAGTGCTTGGTGAAGCAATTGCAGAAAACCCACACATTTGTGAAGGCTTCAGTGAGATCAGCAAAATACTTAAGGAGACATTGATGAGGACATGATTATAAATTGCCAAGTCCTTATCGTATCATCATATCATGTTCTTAAACTTTCCTATCAGCATGTCTTTGTCCATATCTTATCATCTTAATATTGTGAGAAGTTGCCTAATGATAGTTGGGACCTCATCCTCCAGTTTCCTTTCTAGTATTCAAAGGAAATATGGAAGTTCTTGAACTACCAGCGACTGTTGTATCTTTTAAGAAAAGAGTCCGAAATCAACCTTACATTTTAGATAGCCAAGTAACTTTAGAAGAGGAAGTTTCGACAATAAATCAACAAATCTTGGTATTGTGGACCACTTGCTTTGAATTTTTTACCTCATAATGTAAGAACTCTTCTTGTGGAAAATAAAATGAGAGCAAAAGTTCTGACTGCCAGATAATCTGAACTTGCAAAAGACATCACTTCTACCATCTGTTGGAAAATTATCTTGTAAAGATATCTAGCAACAATCCATGATATACGAAACTGTGTTTTTCCTATTTATTCACTACACATAGGGGTCATTGTTTAGCTATCAGACCCTTTGTCTGATATGGGAAATCTGTTAAATAAACAGCATTAATATTTTAATTTCATTTATAGCCCTATTCATGTTTCAAAACGTTATATATGTGGATCCTGGTGTTCTTTCTTGTGCCATCTCAATTCCCATCAATTGGATGATAGAGTCATGATCACTATCCTGTGGTAAGTCTGATGTAAGAATCAAGTTGTTCAAGACCCAAAGCCCTCTCATCTATGGGAACTGATGTATATTTGGGAAGAACAGTGGAATTGAAGTGGATATTTGGAAACATATTTTTACTTGAACACCCAACTGCATAAGAAAATGATTCTTTCTAGGTTAACCAGTTTGTAACGAAAAATATCGGGTGATGCCTTTATGCATTCAAATTTTATAGACAGATGTGAATAAGTATAATGCGATAGTCACAAAGAGGACCTGTTACTACAATTTTTTCTTCCTTTAATTTTTTTTTTTTCTTTTCAAACTTCTTCAACTATATATTTGTGGCAGAAACAACAAGAAATGCAACTTTAGAAATACAATGTATGTAGTAATTTGATGATTATGGTTAGAGGACTGGTAGAGATATTGGAGCTTTGTTGATTGTTGAAAAACCAATCACATATCCAAGGATGCTTAGTGCATCAGAAGAATATTATGTTATTATGTGAATCAATTGATGAGTTAAATCTAGCATTTCATATGATTTTCATTTTGTATTCCTTTGTAATATTTTTTACCCGTACAAGTAGGCCTGCTTTGTTTTTATTGGTTTTACCAAGAGCTGAATATGGACTACATTTCCACCTTTGAAAGTGTCAGTATTCCCCAAGTTTAGCATTTCAAATGAAAATCCTCTTAAAGCGACATTTGCTTGGACTTTTCTGTGCACCTTGAACTAACATGTTTATACTGCCTTTCAGATAAGCATAACCCTAATTGCTACTGGATTCAAACGCCAAGAAGAAAGTGACGGGAGATTCCTCCAGGTATCAGTCGTAACCACTTGCCACCGCTCCCATGCACACACCTGTCCACCCTGCTACATGTAACCCAAAATTAACTTTTAAATCCCAAGTTTGATAGCTTCTGGTAAAAATGCAGGCAGGTCAGCTAGCACAGGGAGATATCACCCTTGGAATCAACCGGCGACCTTCCTCTTTCACTGAAGGTGGTTCAGTGGAGATCCCCGAGTTCCTGAGAAAGAAAGGGCGCTCACGCTATCCAAGAGCTTGAATTATTTATTCTACGTTTTCCCACTGTAATATACCTTTTCCAAGCCCATCCAATTCCCATCAAACCTGACTTTGCTTTTTAGGAAACTAAAGCATGCGTTTGTACAGGATTTTATTATGTCATCAAATGTTCACTCTGAGATAACACAGTGCATGCCTTTCCTAATAAATAGTTGTAGTGGTGTTTTTTTGCCTTTAATTGCTGAAGACAATAGCATAACTTTATTATTTTCCATCCTGACCGACCAGTAATTTGAGATTCCTAGAGTTTGGTTATAAACAAGCATATTGGACTTGCTTTGATTGGTTTATACCGAGTGAATTCCCTAGTGTTTGTTCATGTTTAATGACTGACGGAACTATATATTTTCATCTATCAATATGTAGGTGTGTGTGTGCGTGTGTATATATATATATATATTTACTGAGTTTCTGTGGGGGATATTAAATGCTCCAGGTCATGTTTGGCAACAAAATAAAAGTTATTTATCGATCACAATGGCAATGACTGGTAGAATGCTAGACTTGAGAATTGTTTTGCAGGGTCTTTCTTTTGAACTGAGACAGTATTCATATGAAGCACAAGGCTCAAAAGCTTGGGAACGCGATCAACCATACCATGAACATGCTTATACGTAAGCCTAAGCCTAGTATAGTAGTGGTGTTATTATCTCTGTATCTCCCTCCTTAAACTAATTAATCAAATGTCAATAACTTATACTAGCTGGTATATTATAAAGGACACCTCCTGGTTGGCCTGACACCGGACTAAGGATTAAGTGTGACTCTGATATCAACTATACTGCCAGTGGTTGCCTGTTAATCGAAAAGCTTAAGTTATTGGGTAGTGTTATATACCCACCAATATATGCTCAACACTCCTCATCTGAATTCGATGTGGGATAAGAATTGTGACGTCCCACATAGCATGGGGAGAGAAGTTGTTGAGACTTGTATGTGTTGATACCCTCCTAATTGTGTAGGCATTTTTTTAGCAAAGCTATGAGCACCGAGAGGAGAGTGCAAAACGGGCAATTTACACGGTTTGGGTGGGTCATCACAAATGATATTAGATTTGAGTAAAACCATGAATACCGAGAGTGTGCAAAGCGGACAATATCTACACGGGTTGGACGAGTCATTACGAGAACCTCCAACAACTAACAAAATGCCTTTTTTTTTTTTGAATAATTTGTCCAAGTGTCTGGCAATCGGCTAATGGTGCCACTTGCCACTACATTGATAATAATTTTGTGTAAGTGTTTGGCGATCAGTTAGTAGTGCTGCTTGCCACTATAGTGACAATAAATATGTCTAAGTGTTTGGCAATCAGCTAGTGGTGTCACTTGCCACTACACTGACAATGTATTTGTCAAATCGTTTGGCAATCGGCTAGTGGTGCCACTTGCCACTACACTGACAATGAATTCGTTCAAGTGTTTGGCGATCGGCTAGTGGTGCCGCTTGCCACTATATTGACAATAAATCTGTCTAAGTATTTGGTGATCGGCTAGTGGTGTCACTTGTCACTACACTAACAATGAATTTGTCTAAGTGTTTGGCGATCGGCTAGTGGTGCCGCTTGCAACTACACTGAATTTGTCTAAGTGTTTTGGCGATCAGCTAGTGTTACCACGTGCCACTATACTGATAGTGAATCATTATATATATATATATATATAGGCGCAAACATGTCATCAAAGGTATTCTCCTGATAGTGGAGCTTTCATTAATTAAATAGTGCATTATTTCATTTCATAATATATTAATACATGAAAAAGTAGAAGATTAAAAACTTGTTGGTGCCTTAATGGTAATACCTTTTTAGGTATACTGCATTCCATAGCTTTCCGACCTGCCTGCCAATAAGCGTCTCAAGACTATACGCCCATTTTCCTACTACCTCTGTGATTCTATAGAGACCCTCCCATGGGGATTTCATCTTAGGGACTATGCCAACCACTCTCTTTAGTATCAACTCTCTCTGTCCGAACTCCCTATACTTCACCTTCTTATTGTGGGTGTTCATTAGGGTCTGCTGATATGATGTCAATCTGATTGCTGCCGATTCTCTTTTCTCATCAAGCAGGTCGAGGTTGTACTCGAGCATTTTGTCATTTTCTTTTTCACTCCACGCCAGACTTCGTGCAGTTGGAACTGCTTGCTCTATTGGTATCACGGCTTCTGTGTCTTATGCCATTGCGAAGGGACTCTCTCATGTGGGTCTTCTTGGGGTCCAGTATGCTTGAAGAACTTTTGGGAGCTCGTCGAGCCACTTGCCCTTCTTGTCCTTCAGTTTTTTCTTTATACAATCAAAGATTGTTCTGTTCGTAATCTCAGCTTTTCTGTTCCCTTGCGGGTGGCTTACTGCAGCAAGCTTCTGATTGATTCCATGTTCATCAAGAAGCTTTCTAACGTGCCGATTGTCCAAGTTCTTCCCGTTGTCCATGACAATTGACCTGGGGATGCTAAAGCGACAAATTATGTTGTTCTAAATGAAGCTCTTCACCCGAGTATGGGTTATGCTGGGATAGGACTTTGCCTCCGCCCACTTAGTGAAGTAATCAATAGCTAGCAGGACGTACATGTTCTAAGATCTTGCGTTTAGTAGTGGTCCTACTATATCCATCCCCCGCTGTGCGAATGGTCATGGATTGGCCATTACGTATAGTTCCTCAGGAGGCTAGTGGATCAATGGTCTGAACCTTTGACACTTGCCACACCTTCTTGAGTACTCTTCTGCGTCTCGTGACATGTGGGGCCAAAAGTAGCCTTGGGTCATGACCTTGTGACCTAGCGATCTGCCCCCCATATGGTTGCCACATACTCCCTCATGAATCACACGCGGGATTTCTCTAGCCTCAAAGGGGGTGAAACACTTTAAATAGGGATCGGAGAAGGACCTATGATACAACCGTCCATGGAGTATGGCATTTTTTGTTGCATTTGCCCACAACTTTTTGACCTCGTCTCTCTGCTCAGGCAAGACCCCATCCCTGATATACAACATTATCGGGTCGATCCAGCTAGGTTCGTATGGAATCACGCAAACACTATCAGGTTTCTGGTTGGATGGCACTATGTATGAATGGTTTATTTATTATATCCACTAGTACTACCCTTGTTAATGTGTTCCTGAGCCGGATGTTTGACTGGCAAGTTAATCGGCCCCGTAATTTTCTTCTCTGGGAATTTATGTGAATCTGATCTGATTGAATCTTTTGGTCTCCAGTTCGACGGCAGATCGGTAAGCTTCCATTGTGCTGTCTTTGGTGTTGTATTATCCCAGTACTTGTTTCACTACCAGTTGAAAATCACTGAAAATGCACAACCTTCTTACTCTGAGCTCTTTTGCTAACCCGAGGCCGGCTAGCAATGTTTCATACTCGGCCTCGTCGTTCATGGCTTCGAATTCCAACCTGATCGCTTATTGCAGACTTATGCCTTTAGGAGTTCGGATCTGAATTCCGCCCCCCCCCCCCCCCCCCCCCATCTGGTTGGTGGCTCCATCGACATATAGGCTCTAGTTAGGTTCTTCTAACTCTTCCTCAATGTCCTCTACCTCGCATTCCAGCAGAAGGTCTGTGACTACTTGTCCCTTGATTGTTATTCAAGGCTCGTAAGAAATTTCGAATAAGCTTAATTTTATTGCCCATGTCATTCCCTTACCGGAGAGGTTAGGTTTGCACAATATTGCTCTGATTGGATACGATGTTGGGACAACGATAGGGTATGATTCAAAATAATGCATTAGTTTTCGCTTATAGCATAAATCAGTGCTGGGATGATTTTTTCAACCTTATAATATCTTTTCTCGAGGTCAGACATTGTCTTGCTTGTGTAGAACACGGGATACTAATTTTTTCCGTCTTCCCTGACCAGGGCAGCACTACTCGTCGACAATGACACCGCTAAATAGAGGAGGAGACGTTCTGCGTGTCTCGGTGCTGAGAGGATTGGGGGTTGTTGCATGTATTCCTTTAACCTGGAGAGTGTTTGTTGTCGCTCGGTCCCCCAAGTCTGTTTTCCCCCATTTCTTATTGCATCAAAGAACAGATTGCATTTGTCTTACAACCTTGCAACAAACCGAGTGTTGTTATCTTGCCTGTAAGGGTTTGGACTTCCTTTAGAGTTCTGGGTTCTGCGCTGTGCATCAATGTTTGAACTTGAGCAGGGTTGGCCTAAATTCCTCTGTTGTTGACAATGTGTCCTAGGAACTGCCCTGAGGACACTCCAAATAAACATTTGGTTGGATTCAATCTCACACTATGCTTCCGTAGTGTGTCAAACATCTCTTGAAGATGATGGAGGTGGTCCTCTTTCTTTCGACTCTTCACTACCATATCATCAATGTAAGCCTTTACCGTGAGTCCTAATTGGTCCCTGAACACTGTGACGACCCTGGTTTTACAAACCCAGTGCGTCTGTGATGACCCGAAAGTTGACCCGATAATGGATCCCAAATGCGGAAGCGAAAGATAAAACTAAGGTCTCTAAGGATAGACGTCATCCCTAAGACGCCAAAGTGACTTTCCAAGAAGCCACAAGACTTAAAAGAATAATAGCGGAAGCTAGGTTTTGAAAATCGGACAAAGTGAACCCCAAGGGTAAAACAGTCTTTTTACACAGAAATGGGTACTACCGTGCACACCATTGGATAGACAACGAAAAATTAATAAATTTAGACTCAAGAATCACTTGATTCAGAGTCCGAATGACAAAGTTATAATCAAATCAAGAAAAAATGGTCAAAAGAAGTAACTCAGGACCATCTAATCGATTAGATGCCAAAACAAAAAGTAAGAAAAATCTGTGGGAGACCATCTAATCGATTAGATGAGGCCATCTAATCAATCAGATGGAGAATGTGGTTTTCTCTATACATACCTAGTTTGACTGGATTAGATATCAACCCGACCAAAATAAGGCTTGAGCCTGATGTCGAGTTCAACCCGAGCTTGGGCAGCATTGCTTGTAGCACGAGTTGGGTTAGGGTAGACCCTTCAACCCGCTGGAGTTGCACCTCTACCATTAAGTGTCAAAGAATTGACTACAGCCAGAACCTCCCATTTTTAGTATCCCACCCCTCTAACACAGTCTAAATAAAAAGATGGTTTTCAAAAAGTGGATGAGGACATAATTTAATACAAATGAAAATAGAATTTTCAAGAAATTATTAGATGGTTCTAGAACGTAAGCAACTTGTTGGTTCAATCCAATTAAAACTCATATTAAGGTTTTTTTTGTAATATCTTATTAAACTCTTATGAGTCCACTTTTCTTAATTGAATTTTTTTTATGACACTGTCTGGGACAATTTAATAATTTCTTGAGATTTTCATATCATTTATTAACGAGGGAAACCAGGTGTTTTGGAAATACTAGTAAAATATGATTTCACAAATTTGAATGTGGCGGCTGATGGTTTTTATTGAACCTAACCAAAGGAGAGGAAGGGTAATTTCAAAAACATCAGGAATTTATTGTGATTGTCAGAAACATCAACGAAAATCAGCATAATTTACCCAAAATTCTTACTTTAAACAATGAGAAAGCAATAATGGAGAACTACTCTAAAATACGTATGTTTTGAATTTGTTAATTATGATTCTTAAGCGTTTTTCCCTTCAAAGAAGTCGGTCTATTTACGAGGGAAGTAGATTTTCAAGAGAGAAAGAACGCTCACATCAATAGTTATCCTGCAACAAGGGTCAGAAGTGTTGATCTATCCAAGTCATTTACAACAAACCCAATCTACTTTTGTTCAAATTTTGATGTTATGCTTTTTAGTTTTACATCTGCCATCAAACTTGGTAGTGGATTTTTTCTCACCCCTGAAAAGAGTAGAGGAGGAAAAAAGATGAGAGAGAAAAAAAACAATTATGTCAAAATTATAATCCACTCCAAATATAAATTCAGTTGTCATGCTATCGTCTTCTCTAACAAATTGTCAATGAACAACCAACTAATTTTCTTCAAGTAGAACTCTTGATATATACTGTTGAAAGATTAAATCTCGTGTCTTTAATTTTTCTTTAAATGGTGATGTCAATGTGCTTTGGACTGTTTCATAGCTACAGTAAAAGTATTAAATTCCAACGATCTTTTAAAGGTACATGTTAAATAAAATTAAATACAAATGGACTTTAGATGCAATAAAAGATCAATAGCAAGGAGCACCAGCATAATTCATATAACCTGAATGGAAGAACTGAATTACCAGTAATCCCCACAAGAACAAGCACCTTCCTTGAAGTGATGAAATCGATTTGCATCACGGACAATAATCACCCTGTGTGTAATTGCAGACACAAATTTACTAAACGTGTGACAGTCGCCACAAACCCTAAGATTCTTAGTAATCCTGATAGGAGTCCCAGGGGGTGTGGTGATAAGGCCAAATGCAATTGCCAATTTCTCACTATGTGCGTATAAGAATCCTAACTTAAGTTCCTCATCCACATCATGTAACACAAAATTTGTATCAGGAATATAACCAGCCAACTCAACCTTCGTACTCAAACTTTTCAACATCTCATAAATTTCTCTAGACCGAGGATGAGTACTGTCTCCAACACTAAATCGATGGATCATGTTATCCACCTCAATCCAAGTCCAACCAGGAATTTTCTTCAATTTCCTATGGATCATTAGTTCCCTAGTCTTAGCCACATCCTCCCATCTACCTGCCTTGGCATAGATATTTGAAAGCAATACATAGTGGCCAGCGTTTCGAGGCTGTAATTCAACTAGGCATTTCGCTGCCTTTTCTGCAAGCTCTATATGACAATGAATCCTACATGCCCCAAGCAATGCACCCCAGAGCCCCGCATCTTTCTCCACAGTTTTCATATCCTCAATCAAATCCAAGGCCTCATCGAGTCTACCGGCACGACCCAACAGATCAACCATACAAGTATAGTGTTTCACATTGGGGCTTACAGAGTAATCTTCCCACATGGAATTGAAAAACTGAAGACCCTCTTTAACCAAGCCTGCATGACTACAAGCATTTAACAAAGAAACAAAAGTGATCCTATTTGGTAAGACACCACTTCTTAACATCATAGGGAACAAATCAAGAGCTTCACGGCCTTGTCCATGGTACCCGTAAGCTGCAATCATTGCACTCCACGAGATAACATTCCTTTCTTTCATTCTGTCGAAGATCTCCCTTGCAGAATCAACGCTACCACACTTGGCATACATGTCAATCATTGCCGTCCCCAGTATCACATCCAAGGAAAACTTGTTCCTCCATATATAATCATGTACAAGTCTGGCATTATGCATAGTACCTAATTTTGCACAAGCATTCACAACAGTAACCATCGCAACCTTATCCAGTGCAACACCTTCCTGTCTCATGCGATCAAAAATAACGAATGACTCACTAGCATTCCCACACTCAGCACAAGCCCCGATCATGACCGTCCAACTTACAAGGTCCCTCTTTTGCATTTTATCGAACAATTGCCTCGCGTCCTCAATAACACGGCATCTAGCATACATGTCCACCAGTGCGGCCGACACAAATCTATCCAAATGCAACCCAAATTTGTAAACAATTTGATGAATCAGTCTGCCCATTTGGAGGTCCGTTGTGTCCCTACAAGCCCTTATAACAAAAGGCAATGTATAATTATCGGGCTGCTTCCCGGATCGAATATACCCCCTAAATGTCCCAAAACAATTCATATAATCACCGATCTTGGCAAACCCACCAACCATTACACTCCAAGATACTGAGTCTCTCTCTTCCATCCTACAAAACAAGGAATAAGCATCATCTAAATATTTATACCGAGTATATACGTAAAGAAGCTTGTTTGCAACGATAAGGTCTTGAAGCATGTCGTTTACAGCCACTTGGGCATGAACTTGTCTGATTTGGCCAAGACTTTTACAGCTGAGTAGTGTAGAAATGTAGTATTTTGAGGTCAGGGAGTGTGAAAATTGAGAGTTTGGTGTTTCTCTTGTGTGGGTATTGTGATTTGAGGAAGTTTGTTGACAATTTTGATGTTGGGTTATGGAATCCACCACGGATGTAGCAGAAGGAACTGAGAAGAAACGAAGCCTATCATTGTTCGAAACAAAGAAGCTTCTGTGTTTGAATTTGAACATGAGATTAACCTGTTGTGTTTTAGAAAACTAGAGAGAGAAAGAAATAGAGGTGAGAAGGAAAAAGCCAAAAAAAAAAAAAAAAAAAAAACAACCTAAATAAATAAATATAAGGTTGCGTCTTCTGTTTTTGCGAAGAAACAAAAATATGATTTTATATTTTTTTGAGTGAAAGTAGAATGCCAAATAGTATTAACACTGTGATGACAATTATTAAGGCACCAAACAATAGGAGTGTTTAATAATATTTTTAAAATACAAAATTATATTTTTGTTTCTTTGTAAAAATATTGTTGACAAATATTATTACAAGATCAAGATGCACACAAAATTTCTAAATTTATTTTTAGTTAGTATAGAGAGCCTTAACAAAATATGTATGCAATTCAATTATTTCACACAATATTAACAATATCAGATGTTGATAATAAAATACAAATCCTAATAATACCTTGATAAAAAGCTCCTACCAATTATGTGTGTCTAAGGTCTACATGTGGTTAAAGATATAGAAAAGCTATTTAGTTAAACTAGGGTTGTGGATTACTCATTCTTATCATTTGAAAGCGCAAAAGGTTAAGGGGCCGTGAGCCCTTGTTTTAGTGCCTTCCCTCAAGCACGGGTTTGTGACGTATGCTTTGGCGATATAACTAGAGTATTAGATCAATTCAAATGTTACTCATTTATAATCCAAAAAAAAAAAAAAAGACAAATTCTTTTTTTGAAAGAAATAGTTTTTCAAGCATTTTAACAAACAAATGAAGTTCATTACAAAGTAATCTAATTTTGAGACGTGAACTAATGACAATGTCTAAAGTAATATAATCACTTTCAAAAATCGAAGTGCAATTGCGTGATACGAAGTGTTCCAAAGCCCAAGCAATCTCAATAACAATTCATATGATAACTTCATATTTTGCAAATCATAGATATGCATACTTTTGAAACACCCCTTAACAGTTGGCAAAATTCTAAAATTAATCAACAATGGTCATTATTTCTTAAACTATAGCTCAGTAGTATTAAAAAATACCTAAAAATTACAATCTTATATCTTAATAAATATCTCTCAAACAAATTAACTTGTAAAGTATAATAACTATACTTTGAAAATAATGAATAAGAATAAAATTTACAATTTTTTCGTCTTGCCTCTTAGAACCTTGAAGAAAACGATGCAGAACATCCGTCATCAGTTTTCTCCCATCTTAGACTTCTCTTTAGAGACCCGATAATATATCGTCTATTTGTTAGTTAATTTAAGTAAGTGTTTATTTAGTTTAATGTAGAGGGTAAATTTGTATACTTACATACTAATGTAATATATTATAAGAAGGTCATTTAAGTAATAAATCATCAAATGGTCACTTATTAGTAATTAAGTTTTAAGTTTGGTGACTATTCACCTTTTCTTGATTTTAAGATCACTTTACACCAATTATATTTAATTTTGGTCACCAAAATATAATTTCCCCGTCCATTAATCATTTTTTTCTCTATTTTAAAAAACTTATCTATTATTTGCTTAACAATAAATATTATCGAGGTGTAATGACAAAATTAGATATTCATTAAAGAAAAGAAAATAAAGAATTTGGCAACTCCTAAAGAAAAAAAAAAAAAAAAGAATTTGGCTACTCTTTTTGGTCGTTGCTCCTCCTTCCCCATCAGTTGAATTCCAGCGATTTACTTTCGTTAAAAATTAAAAATTCACAGTCAAAGGGATTGGTAGCGATTTACAGACAAAATGGCATCTAAAAGTTTAATGGTTCTGTTCATCTCTACCAAAGATCAAAAGGCCGACATCTTTACAAAGCCATTGGTCTCGAATCGCTTCGCTATGCTATGTGACAAATTGACAATCTCAGCATCATGGAACTTCCGCTTCGCTTGAGGGGGCCTATTAAGGCAGTAAATAATATTCCAGATAGCAGCAAGGTTTAGTCTTCTCAAGATAACAAGAGCAACGATATTCCAAAGCTCAAATGTAATGCAAAGGATAAAGATAAAGCTGAAACAGTTATATAGATTCAAGTATTGAAACTCTTGTAATCTGTAATATTTCAAACTCTTGTAATCTGTAATATTTCAAACTCTAGTAATCTGTATAGATGTTCTATAAATATAGAATACAATCTCTCTGCACAATCATTTTAGTGAGAGAGTTCAAACATAAAACAATTTGTTCTTTTAGGGGGCACTCTAGCATTGTATATTTTCAATTAAAATGAACTGTTGTCACTCCAAATCATGGACTATTTGTCACGTTCCAATGTGGCAAAGAAATAAAATGAAAACTTAATTCAGGCTTTATAACATGCATGTATAAAACCCAGCAGTTGAGCAGTTTGTTAGGCGTTGAATGTTATACATTTTAGCCCCTTTACTTACATTGTTTTATTGTTTTTATTTATTTCAGGACTTTAATTATAAAATCAGTCAAAACCATTGATTATGAGCGTTAGTCCAAAAGAAGCCCCAAGTTGATGAGAATGGAAAGAAGAAGAAAAGGAAAAATCCTTCTCTAAAAAGGAAACTTTCGCCAAAGTTGGTAACTTAAATCTGTTTTGATAATCTGGCCGTATCTCTCTTCTCGAGTGTCAAAACAGCTAAATTCCCTTGTGGTTAAAAGGAAATTCGAAGAGTTACAATTTTGTATTTCACGAGGATTCCCTAAAACAACTATTTACTTTGTCAAAATTGGGCTGAAAGTCTGTATGAATTATAAAATCAGTCAAAACCATTGATTATGAGCGTTAGTCCAAAAGAAGCCACAAGTTGATGAGAATGGAAAGAAGAAGAAAAGGAAAAATCCTTCTCTAAAAAGGAAACTTTCGCCAAAGTTGGTAACTTAAATCTGTTTTGATAATCTGGCCGTATCTCTCTTCTCGAGTGTCAAAACAGCTAAATTCCCTTGTGGTTAAAAGGAAATTCGAAGAGTTACAATTTTGTATTTCACGAGGATTCCCTAAAACAACTGTTTACTTTGTCAAAATTGGGCTGAAAGTCTGTATGAATTTTGGAGTCCTGTTTGACAAAATTTCTATATATATCTTCAATAAATTAATGCAATTAACTGGTGGTAAGTCATACCCCTAATCCTCTCTCTCTATTTTTTACATCCTATTTAATCATTGTTCTTTAGTTTATTTTCTTTTTCTACTTAGTTAATTTAAAATTAATCATCTCAATTATTCTTCAAGTTAATTTGGAATTTAAGAAATCTGTTGACGACACTCTTACAAATAAATCCTATCTACAAAGATTCGTGCACTTGCCAGTGGTACATATAAATCTCACAACACAGTTTAATGGTGTTAATTGCTATACAGTCCCAACTCCCAGTCGCAGCAAAAATACTTGAAGGAACTGCCCTCGATTGATCCTTAATTTCAGATCAACAAGTCTGCTAACTGCTGACAAAATACTCCGTAATATGCATACATAAGAGAGAGACAGACAGAACCTGCATGCATTATACTTAATCTTAATGAGATGTTAGGCTATCCCATAGGGAAACAGTTACTGGCATGGCAGACTTTCATAAAAAGGCTAACAGTCACCCGACTCACCCTCCACACAAGTACTGACATCAACTAGAACCCTTTTCATCTTATCAACCAGCTCTTGCATCTGTTTCCTCGAATGCAATGGCGATGGGTACACACAGACACAGTCTAGTTCTCCATCCCGTATCGTGTCGAAGATGGCGATAGACGGGCCCACTCCGTGAACCGAAGCGCACCCAAGGTAGTCCTCCAGTCCGATCTCTCGCAGTGACTTGCTAGAATGGTCGATCACAGGGTCCTCAAACACAGAGATGAAGGAAGTCCTCAGGGATGATGATGGAGTCAAACCAGGGTTGTCAATGGCCTTGCACATGAGAAAATTGAGGTCTGCCATGTCTGAGAAATGCTTGTTGTTGTTCTTAGCATTCGCAAAGCCTGTGTAGGTTCTCTTTGCCAGCTCCCAGAAATTTTCACCTCCTCTTATGTCATGTGTGTTTAGGATGGCAGAATGGTAAAACCCTGAATTTGTTTTAGGGTCACCATGTTCAGTGCACCAAGTATACATGCTGAATAATATCACATACAAAATAAAGTGTCTGTTTGGATTTAGTGATTTAATCAGCTTTTGATTTAAAATTCGATTTGATCAGATGATATAAAATGATTATTGCCTTAAGTAATAAATCAATTTAATCATAATCAGCTCTTAAAATTGATTGCTTTTTTCAAATAGGATCAATTACTTTTTATAACTTACCAAATATCATTTACAACAAGATTATTTAAGTCTTAATCAATTGTTTGTGTAACAATTAAAGCCATTTTATATAACTCTAACTAAATTGTTACGTCAGTGAACCCGAGCAACAATCAAGAAACACAATAGAAAAGTAAACACACCACATATAAAGAACACAAAGATTTAGCTTCGACAAAGCATATATCCACCGTGGAGATCAGGCAAAAGTCCTCACTATACTAAAAATAGGAGATTACAAGTTTTAGTCTCTTACTCTCTTTCTATGCGATTTTTAGTGTCGCTCTATCTCTCACTTCAAACCCTAACACCCTTATATATCAGGCTTCAAAGAGAGTACTAATTAGGGTCCATGACTCACAAGCAAAAAAAAAAAGTCAAAAACAAAGCTCATCCAACAGGTCACGTTGGCACCAAATTCGGGCCACAACAACACATAGACATAAATATTTGGCTACAAACCAAGTAGAGAATTGTATGGGCTTGGGCAAAACATGCATAGCATAGGTAGTAAAGAAACTCTTCTAGAGCTCTTGCTCTGCGTATCCTCCAACTTCATTCATTTATGAAAAGGCCTAAGATAACAAAGGATATGTGTTGATAATTCCATTCAATGTACATTTTGATTTGGGTTTATCATTTTGAGGCCTAATGGGCGAACCGGAATGTGTCTCGTTGACACAATTCATTATTTGGTGCAATGATAAAAACTAGAATGAGTTGGGCTTGATGATAACTAAGTAAAGCTACTTCGTGAAATAACAATTGGGTATGTTTCTAAGCTTCCCTCCTAATAGCTTGCGTAAGCAGGGATATATTTTAGATAATGGAAACAGATTGGGATTGAATTTATGCCCATTAAAATATGGTTGGATTAAAGCTTGACATGGTACCATGTCAAGTAACACATGTTATCCTCAAAGTGCCATAGCCAAGTTTAGTTGTGGTAGGAAATATTATAAGCAGCTAATTGACCCCTGCTAGGGAAGTCGCTTGGGGCATAGAAACTAGGGACTTACCAAGATGGTGGCTGCTAAGAACTGGGTCAAGAATCGAACGGCAGTCCATGAGGGTCACAACTGCATACTTCTCCCACTGATCATCAGGAAGGTATTTAGAGGATCGAGCAGCAATTAATCCGGCAGCTGCCAAGGCCCCGCATAGTCTGATCCCTCTTGACTTGCAACCCTGCAAAATTTGTACCATAAACCCTTTTTCTTTTAGTTTTTCAATGTCAGATATAAGAATGGAACCCTTGATAGTAACCATCCATTTTAAACATCACTTTACTTGCAGCACAAAATTTGAAAATGCCTTGACTAAAGTTTTATAAATTCAGAGTTGTATACAATAAGATTATTCATGGCTTTCATCCTTCACTTTCAAAATTGATTGATTGCTTTTGTAATATGATTGTATTTCATGCTACTATTTTGTAATTAAATTTATTGGTTAACAAGAGAGCATCCAATCTAGGAATTGAGTCTGCCTCAAGGGGCAGAAGAGGCTAGGGGCCACCCATGAGGACTTGTATCTTTGTTCTTGTAAAACTATGTTTGGCCCCAAACACAGTATCGTCTAGTCTACTGGGAAAAATTGATAATGAAGTTTTAATCAAAGTTTGTTTGTGTTAATGGAATTTTAGTGCTAAAAAGATTATCTCCATCAAATAAAAATATCAAATATAGATTATCTCCATCAAATAAAAATATCAAATATATATTGTCACTGAACAAAAAAAATAGTATTATTTGAAGGATAACATGATGAAGGCTCCTCCTCTCCATCTTTACTCAGGCTATCATTTATGCCACAACAGTACGTAGCAAGTGGGATCCAAATGCTAGCTAGATTAGTACTGGAGGAGTGTCCAATCTGCAAAGCTTTATTAGCCCATATGCATGTCCACCGGTAAAGCCAATGGGTTAATTCAAGCACAGACAAAAGAGTAACAATCAAGCAGGAGAAATAAGCAAGTTTGTCACGCTCCTTTTCAAAACTGAGTTGCCTTGTACGTAGTAGTAGCTTTAGTAGATTTTATCAATTGATCATTATGTACCATAAATTTATTATTATTTTCCCAAGCATAAAAATAAACCAACACCAACAACTCTATAAGTAAAGTATTTGATCAAAGGACATCACCTTTGTTGAACATATGGCTCAATTTCTGGCTTGCATCACCCATGATGTTATCAAGATTCTTGGCCTCCAAGAATGTGTGCCCCAGCAAGTCTTTTGAGTGATCACCAAGTAGCCTCATTTTGGTGTCCCATTTTGGCTATAAATAGCCTTTGCCCTCCATAGTTTGAAGCATCCAAAATCATCAATTGTGTGTTTGTAATATCAGTTAGTGAGAGAGAGTTTGGATGTAATTGGGTTTTGGGTGTGAGCTACTTTGCCTTGTATCTCTTTATTTCCATAGTGAAATATTGTTCTGTCTTCTCCCCGTGAATGTAGGCATAGCCGAACCACGTAAATCCTTGTCTCGTTTGTGCATGTGCAATTTTATTTTTTTTGTCATTATTTTTTCTCTTGTTCTCATAAACTCCTATTCAATCCTCTTTTTCATAACAAACTGGTATCAGAGTTTGAGTTTGTGTATATTGTGTACAGATACGGTTCACATATACTATTCCGGTACTATTCACAAATACAGTACTATTCACCGAGAATTATTTTAGGGAGTTTTTTGAGATGTCGACCAAATACGAGATTGAGAAATTTGATGGCAAGATTAGCTTCAATATTTGGCGCATTAAGATGCAGGCCTGCTGACTCAACAAAGTCTAAAGAAGGTGTTGTTCGGGAAGGACAAGTTGCCAACAACTTATCCAATGAAGACAAGGATGAGGTCGATGAAAAGGCGCACAGTGCGATTATTTTGAATTTAGCTGATGAGGTGCTGCGTGAAGTTATTGATGAAGACACGGTGCAAAGTTGTGGCTGAAATTGGAGAGTCTGTATATGACGAAATCTCTCACCAACAGACTTTACCTGAAACAGAGACTCTACACCCTTCGTATGAAGGAAGGTATGCCTCTTAAGGAACATATTGATAATTTCAATTCTATTACTATGGATTTGAAAATTACTGATATTAAAATTGATGACGATGATCAAGCCCTTATTTCGTTGTGTTCTTTGCCTCCTTCCTATGAGCATTTTGTTACCACATTGCTCTATGAAAAAGACACTATTAGTATGGAGGATATTAAATCCTCATTGAACTCTCAGGAGTTGAGGAAAAAGGTGTCTGGAAATATTAGAAATGAACAGGCTGAGGGTCTATTTGTAAGAGGCAAAAGTGAGACAAAGGGTTCTGGTAGTAGGGGCAAATATAGATCTCATAAAAATGTGGAATGTTACTACTGTCACGAGATAAGGCACATCATTAAGCACTGTCCCAAACTAAAGGCAAAGAATGAGAATGGCAAAGAGAAGGTTCAAGAAGCAGCTTCTGTGGCAACTGCTACAACGAGTGATTCGGAGAGTGACGATTATGTTCTCATGACAACCTTGTGTTCAGGTATGTCATTTAATGACAGTTGGATTCTTGATTCTGGTTGTTCCGTTCATATGTGTCCCAGTAGGGATTCTTTCTTTTCCTATAAAGAGGTGAAAGGTGGTTCGATTTTGACGGCGGACAGGAAAGCTTTCAAAAGTTTGGGAATTGGAACAGTCAAGATCAAGACGCACAATGGATTGGTAAGAACATTGTCAGATGTGAGACATGTACCGGATCTAAAGATGAATCTTATTTCAGTAGGTGTGCTCGACTCCAGAGGCTACAAGGTTGTAACAGATGGTGGAGTAATGATGGTCGTGATGGATTCTCTTATGGTGCTATTGGGCACCAAGGTGAAAAATTTGTACCTTCTCCAAGGGAATACAGTAACAGGTGGAGCTTCTACAGGGTCTTCTACAGCTAGCAGAAATCTGCGTTCAGGTCTTGGCAAAAGAAGAGTTAAAAAGAGCAGTGACACAAATACTGGAGGTATGCTTGTGGCTACGCAATACATGCATGGGTTGAAGAATGAGAGCCCGAGGGTTAAGTTTGAGGATGCCTCAAACTTAACTAAAATTCTTAATTAATTTGTTTTGTGGAGAAAACAGTTTGTTTAGCATAGATACAGTGGCTCATTTGAATTTTCGCCAAGGTGGAGATTTGTTGAACATATGGCTCAATTTCTGGCTTGCATCACCCATGATGTTATCAAGATTCTTGGCCTCCAAGAATGTATGCCCAGCAAGTCTTTTGAGTGGTCACCAATAGCCTCATTTTGGTGTCCCATTTTGGCTATAAATAGCCTTTGCCCTCCATAGTTTGAAGCATCCAAAATCATCAATTGTGTGTTTGTAATATCAGTTAGTGAGTGAGAGAGTTTGGGTGTAATTGGGTGTGAGCCACCTTGCCTTGTATCTCTTTATTTCCATAGTGAAATATTGTTTTGTCTTCTCCCCGTGGATGTAGGCATAGCCGAACCACGTAAATCCGTGTCTCGTTTGTATGTGTGCCACTTTATTTTTCTTTGTCATTATTTTTTCTCTTGTTCTCGTAAACTCCTTTTCGATCCTCTTTTTCATAACAACCTTCAATATCTGATCTATTGGTTCAATCATTTTAAAATGTTTTCAACATTTTTTTTTTTGGGGGGGGGGGGGGGGGGGGGGGGGGTTGGGAGACGCCTTTCGAAATTACTCAATTAGATGCATTAGGTGTATAGCATGTTTTTCATAGCAGAAAAATAATACTAATACATTCCTAGATTGATTGCAGGCCAGAGCCCCAAAGTAAAATGTACGTCCCTGCGCCCAGTGCAGCAGATTTAACTAATCTCTTCTTAGTCTCAAAAATCTCGTCATAGGGATTAATTGGAAATGATCCATCGCCCAAAAGAATTAATTAGATTCACCTCAAAGAGCGATCAGATCATACATAACAAATGAATATATATATATATATATATATATATGATGATGATGACAACAACTTACAGAAAGAATCCCATGAGTGTGTTGTGACGCTATCTGCAACCTGACCACCTGGGAAGCTCTTGGGGAATGGACATCTCTAAAGTCCAAATTTGACAACCTGAAAGAATTCAAAGAGTAGCCCAACATGTCCACTCCTCGTGCCCAAAAAGGCTTTTTAGCTTTACCACTCGGAATATAATCCTCAATTCCCAAACTTATAACCTCCTCCTGCAGCCCACCGCTGCCTGATTCCCCCTCCCCCTTCCCTCTCATCCTCATTATTAACAACTCCAACAGCTCCCTCAACAACCACACCGCCGCCGTCCGGTCACACGCCGACGTATGAAGGCGTAGAGCCACCACCCACTTCTCATCACTTAGACCGTACACGCTGGCAAAGAGCACGTCGGTTTCGTCACTACTAGTACTAGTACTATTCCTACTCCAGGTGTTTCGATTCAATTCGTGTTCGAGGATCAGGTGGAAGGGATCAGAGTCAAAGGAGTTGTCGTCGTCCTCTTTAGTGGTTTGGAGGACTTGAGCCGTCGATGGAAGATCGAACCATTGGATTTGGAGGAGATCTAGAGGGCTGGTGGGTGGTGTCATGTATCTGTAGGAGAATGTGTTGCTGTAATTGTTGGTGGTGGTGGTGGTGGTGTCGGTGTCGGTGTCGGTGTCGGTGTGGAGCTTGGAGCGGAGTATAGGGTGGGTAATTTGGAGGTTGTGGAGGGCATTTTGGAGAACTGACAAGTCTGGGGTTTTTGAGAGGAGAAGACCCAGAACAGTTATGCCGGTGCCACCGGGCACGGCCTTGCACCAGCTGTACTCGGTGCCGCCGACGGGTCGGCCCTTGGGCACCTCCACTGCCTGTGGCTCGCTGTTCTGCTGCTCTGACATACTCCTAGCTATAGAAGATAAGAGATACTTTAGAATTGTAGTAGCAATTTGGAAAAGAAAGGATAAGAGGTAATTTGCAGAAACTCCCTTGAAGTAGCAAGGGGGATATAGTGCATATAAACCCCCTTGAAGACTTAAGTACTCTTTGTTTATATAAATTTTTATACTATGAATTTTTTTTTTGCATACAATAATAATTTAAAATGAATAACACAAAATAAAAATAAAAGTAAAAATAAAAATAAAAGTAAAAATAAAAATAAAAACAAAAACAAAACAAAAAAACAAAGAGATCATGTGCGGGTCATGTGACCCCAAAACCCTGAATAATGCCCGATCTATCCCTCTCCCTTTCTCTTCTATATATATTTGTTGCCACTGGTTAACTCTTAAAGAGAAAGTGACATGTTTTGGTGGAGATTTAACTCCTTTGAAGTTGTGTATGCAAGAAATTTTCTCTTATTGGAAAGTTCTTATTTTTTACATACCAAACACTCGCATTTCTTCCTTACACCTTTCTATATTTATAATATCTATTTCATACCATACTTTCCTTTCTTAAAGGGTGTTATATGCACTATACCTATACTATAGAGATTTTCTTCGAGCACTGGTGTGTTACTAAGATCCACTGCTATACCTTTAGGTTAAATTTGGTGGGACTCCTAAGAGATTCGAAAGTTTTGGTGCGGCATTGACTTCCACTAACCAAGCATTTTTCCAGGAGGAATCAATTCTCGATAACACTAATGTCGAGTAGTATAGGATACAAAAAATGATGGTAAAAGATGACTCTGCCAGACTGCAGAACCTATCAGCAGCTGAGCTTTCACGAAAACTCTCTCACCTAATTGGCCAGGTGAGACTTGATTCTTATCATGCGTACCCTTTTTTTTTTTTGGTCTTTAGCCTATTACTACTATTTACTTTTATATATATATATGTAGGGCACTACATACTCTGTCTCCCTAGCCTTCAAAGCTGCGGTTGGATAAGCTATTGCAAAAGAACATAAGAAGCTCTCCATGGAGATAACTTCCCTCAAGGCTAAATACGAAGAAGTTACTTCTAAACTTAAAAAAAAACAGAGGATGACTTGGCTAATGCAAAATCAATTTTCCAAGAGGAGAAAGTGAAACTTACCAAAGAATACTCTGATAAGCTTGTACTTGAGAAGCTAGCTGCCGTGAAGAGCTTTAAAATTTTCGATGAGTTTAAGTTGCTCACAGGCAAAGCTTACTGTGATGGTTTTAACGAGTTCAAAACCCTCGTTAGTAAAGATCATTCAGACATAAATTTTTCAACGTATAATATTCAAGCTGAGAACAAAGAGGAAGACTGAGCCCAGTAGTAGTAGTGATTATTTTTTTATTTTTAGGTTTTCTACTTTCTTAGCATGTTGCTCCCTTTATATATTTAAAACTTTTCAGAAATTTTCCTGAATCAGAAAGTAGTTGTGTTGCTTTTGACATTTCAACCTTGCCTTTCATAGTGTTGCTCCACTTTTATTATTTCTTTTTGCGTAATTGTCTTTCTGTAGTTGCGTCTCTCCTTTTGTGGCATTGAACACACAATATTTGAGCACACACATTATTATTTTTTTTTTGGGGGGTTTCATCCAGCCCGTTCTTTTTCTAAATGAAATTTTTTTTACGAGCTTCATTCAACTCATCCCTTTAATAATGGAATATCAGTTCTTTCTTTTAATAAATAAAGGGACTTAACATTTTACTAGTCCTTTCATGGCTTAGTAAATTCAGCAATCATACCGTCAATAGTAGAGAAAATGTGGAACAAAGGCTAACAATTATCTTTATTGAAGAAACTTATCAAAAATAACATTCAACAATCAATCATCAACATTTATTAATGTTGATATGCTTTATTAAAGCTAAAAACCATTAAAGAAAAAGTAGGAACATACTATCACTTTAAAAGTGAGGACATATAGAAAATATAAACAAGTAATCTAGCACAAACACCTACTGGTAATATTTCCTCAAATGTTCTATATTCCATGGGTGGGGAAGTTGTCCTCCTCCAAGTGTCTCTAGCCAATATGCACCCAGTCTGTTGCTTTGGGTTACTCGATAGGGAACTCTAAGTTGGGAACTAATTTCCCCTCTCTCTTATCCTTAGTAGCCGGGCTAACCTTGAGAAACACTAGGTCTCCTGGCTTGAACCTCCTTAGCTTGACTCGGGCATTGTAGTACTTAGATACCATCTGCTGGTAAGCTGCAATCTTGATCTTGGCCTTCTCTATTTTTTCTTCTACCAGGTCCAGGTTTAACCGCAGTTCCATTTCATTATGTTGAGGTTCAAAGTAATTGGTTCTGAAGGTGGTAATCTTTGTCTCCACCGGGATCACTGTTTCACTTCCAAAAGCTAACACAAAGGGGGTCTCCCCAGTGGGGGTCCTCATGGTAGCGCAATATGCCCATAAGACTCTAGATAACTATTCAAGGCTCAAGCCATAAGCCCTTAGCCTTTTTCTAGGCGTGTCTTGATCATTTTCAGTATCGTCTTATTCGTGATCTCAACCTGCTCATTAGCTTGAGGGTGGCTAGGAGAAAATACATGAATTTTGATCCCAAACTCATTACAAAAATCGTTGAATTTCTCGTTATAAAACTGCTTCCCATTATCTGTCACGATCACCCTTGGTGCTCCAAACCTACAGATTACTGTGATACCCCCGGATTTCTGAATGTAGGTTGGCCAGGCTCGCGCCCGATTACCCGAGGATATCAAACCAATTAGCAATAATCGAACACAGAATAAAAACAAATGAGATAAATAAAATTTGCTGAAATGAAAACTAAAATGATAATCCAATAATTGAAACCTCAGAATAAATAATTCCATTGATAAATAAACTATTTTGTTACAACTGATCCTCCACAAATACAAATCGTTCTCCAAATTATACAACTCAGGATTCCATCTAGTGGACCCCTAAAATATCTCACTGAACTCAAATGACTAGAAATAAAACCAAAGCCTAAAACATGAAACAAAGTCCTACAACATCGGTGGAGTGAATGACTGTATCTGCTTAGCATGATCCAGCTCTAAGACTGGAACTAACGAACACCTGTAAAAATAAGAGTGGGTCAGGCCCACATGCAAATTCTTCTCTAACTACAATCCAAACAGTGACCTGATACGCAGATACACCCTAGATATCTCAACAATAGTTATATAGCCCATACATATATATATATATCCGCACTAAGGGACATTCAATGGACTACGGTAGGGGTCTCAACCTGAATAGAAGGTAACATGCGAAAACGCACCCAAAGGTGGGCATGAGTACCTAGACCTAACAGGGTACACCTCAACCTACTATAGCCAGCTACGTATCTACTGTATATACACACCCTAACCAATGAATCTGAGACTCAAGTTCATCTCGTGGTACCATAACCATATATTCAAAGTCCATTCATATCCATCCATAAGAACTCCAATAAATCGTTCAGCTTATTCAACTGCACAGACTTAAATATAAGGAGAATTATGTTTTTATAATTCGTACCCTTATTCCAAAATAGGTAGGACTGAGTATTTTGAATCAGTCTATCCCTAGTATGCCACCGTCCCATACCGGTGCATACAATCCATAAAATCCATATAATTGATAGAACAGGTAAAGCTGTTCACCAATTAAAATCCATAAGGTAGGAATTAGCGTTTTGAGCTAAACCATACCTAGTATGTCACCGTCCTATACCGGTACATATAATTCTCCATATCCGTGTAAATTACAACAATTACATAATAGTTTAGCAATTTACAATCCAAAACCATTCCAAATAATTGCATAAGAGTATTTAGTATTTCAACAATTTAAATCCAATACCATGTAAATTGCAACCGATACATAACAGTTTAGCAATTTACAATCCAAAACCAAAATCCAAATAATTGCAGAAACGTATTTAAAGTTTCAGCAATTTAAATCCAAGAGTTAACCCATGTATTGTTTAACAGTTTATCAACTAGAATCCAAAGCATGAATAGATCAGTTTTAGTAAATCAACAACTCTATCATGCAATTTAAAAAAAATTTTAAAATCATAATATTGTCCAAGAATTTGCTAAAATTAATTCTAAATTACTTCTAGCAATTCAGTTCCTTTTATCCGTCAAAAGCAAGCTAGGTTTCATACTTGTATAATGTTTTATTGTTCTTGCACCGAGCCATAAACTATGCTATGAGCCCAATTTGTTAATTAAAAGACCCCCTCATGCATCTAAAATTTAATTTAGAATCATGTTATAGCACCCTAAATTGTCAAATTAAAATTAGACAATTTATTTCCTTCCAGCCGTTAACCGTAGGCAAAATTGTTAATTAGCGCACTTTTAATTCTATTAAAACAAAAGGGGTATTTTATGCAATTCAAGACCTTGATTACATGTTAAAATAATGTTTTGAAAACCCCATTAAAGTTTTAAAACTGTTTAGAAACCCCAAGTGCCCAAAAAGTAGCTTAAAAAGTCACAGTACGCATCAAATTGGGTAGATGATAAGCGCTGAATACTGTATATTCAAGCGCCCTAAATTACATTAACAAAGTCCATTAATTGATTATTTTATATATATTAACTCCATTTGCATGTTTTTGTGCATTTTCAGGTTAAAGTGCAAAAAGGAAGCAAAAATGATGCCTTGTGGAATTTTGAACAAAAAGGGTGCCAATTCTGAATTTCTGGCAGCAGTAGAACCTGACTTTTGTCGCCATTTTCGACCTAGGAAACTCAAGAACTGGACTTCCATCATAAGATAAAAAATTTAGAGCTCTAAATCAGCTTTCCAAATCTTCAAGCGGTTCATCATTCGGAGTTCGTAGTAGAGAGTTATGATCTTCTTAACAAAGGTGCGCATAACTGCCTGGCAGCACTGAAGTACTGCCTTTCTCCCCATTTTCGACCAACCAGACTTGAGAATTGGGTCTTCATCAAAACATGAAGTTTTTAAAGCACTGAATCAGCTCTCCAAATCTTCAAACAAATCATTATTCGGAGTTCGGGCCACAAAGTTATAGCAGTTTTACCAAAGTAGGTCAGTGCTAAGCAAGAAGAGCATGTTGCATATTACACTAATTTAGAGTGCTCGAGACCACTCTTCGAGTGCTCAAAAATCAGGCAGATTGCACTTGGAAATGGCTCAATTTCAGCCACTTGTACATTGGTTTCCTCAATGCCATCTTCCTTCTTTATGAAGTGGTTGAAGGTGTTCCTTGGAGGAGAGAGAGGGTTTTGTTGGAGGACAAAAGGCAACCAAAGGCCACACA